TCATACGAGTATATAAATTAGTACCCTACACCCTGTGTGATGCTGGTCCAGGATTTTGGCGTCTTGCAGATAATTTACCCTATACCTCATGTCTTCATCCAAGACCCTGGAGAGAGGAGAAGGTCCATGTGCAAGTTCCTGGACCAGTGGTGGAGTTTTATAGCCTCTTTTATAGACAGGCAAGGCCCACAAGCCCTGGCCTTGAGGCTGGGGCTGTTCTAGTTCCCTGACATCCACGGGCAAGGCCATGGGCGTGAAGTCCCTCTCTCAGGACCTGAAACCGCTCACCACACTGTCTTTGGTCCCACCCTTTATTTCTACCACCTAACATTTCTTTCTCCTTCTCAGTCCTTGGTGATGTGCTAAGAGCCATTTTTACTCCATTGTTTGTGGTGGGACATCACGTCAGCTGAGTTCACCATGTTACTGGAAGTATTGTGACAACCGTTTAGCTTCTTGGAAGAGTTAAGTCACACAAATTGTGTTTCCTTCAGGGACTAGCGCAGTGTGGGGCGCCTAGCAACACTCGCTACAGAGTGAGCACGTGAATGCATGATGGAGATCAGGACGGCTAAGCGCCTGCAGCCACAGTGCAGACATCTTCACAAAGGACTGAGTCTGGGACACTCCGAGCAGGCAGGGAGCAGGGACACGACTCCTCTGCCTGGTGCTCCCGGTCACGGTGGTCCCAGCCGCATGTTGCCTTAGTCAGTCCTGGGGACAACATGGTTTCACCGGCAGCTCACCTCATAGCGTTGCCTGCTCACTTTCTAATTCTACTTTAATCATCGTACAGTGTGACAGCCTTCTCTCTCCCTTCCTGACAGAGGAGCCTTAGATTGCATGTGGGTGGATTTAACGCCAATCCATCGAGTAAAAGTTTCATCCTGGAGTTGCAGACGGTAATCCAAGGCAGGATGCTGCCTCGGCACACGGATGCCATCGCAGGCCTCTTCCTGTTTCTGCAGGGCTGCCTCTCCCGACCTGGCGCAAAAGCACAGACACTGGTCAGAAGCCCCAGCATGACGGGACAACCGGAAGTCACATTCCTTGACCTCCTTGTGTAAATAGGTACGACGCTGGCCCCAGCCTGTTGCGGGCTGGGCATTCTACAGCTTGCAGCGTTGCAGGCTCTGCCTATCCTGCCTATGATTCATTAAGCGCCTCTCCCTCTCGGGTACTTGAGCGAGAAGGTCTCACTTTCCACTACATTCGAGTCCCCACCCTCCCATGAAACCCGTTCTGTAGCAGGAGCTAAGGCAGAGAAAGCCAACGAGCCCTGCCTAGGAGATAATCTGCATTTTATCACCCAAGAGGAAGATCCCAGGCATTTCAAAAAGACGACCCAATGTGGATTTCTAAGTGGGGAGAATGGGCTGAAGGGGGCTGCAGCGTGCACTGCAGAAACCCCTCACCCCACAACAGTCTGCAGATACGGTGGCGATGGTAGCAGAGCTCCATCAACTGCCCCACAGGCTGTGATACTGGTGGGTGGGGTGCAGGGGCACGAGAAGCCCCCAGTGACGCTTGTGTAGCAGCGGGTCTTGTGAGGCTGCAAACACCGTGGCCTGCTGCCCCAATCCAATCCCAATTAGAGGATCCCACCGAGGGCTTATGTAATTCAGAGAGAATCCGTTCAGGCAAGGGAAAGGAGGAGGTGGGTTGGAAATATTTTTGCTCCATTTTCTTCAGAAATATTTATAAAGATTGGCAGAAAGTGCAGGTGACAGAATAGAGGGACATTGGAGTTGACATCGTGATGTCACCGGGGATGTAGTGCCACCAGACGAAGAGCCTGGCCTGTGACTACAACGCCCGGGGCACGGCTGTCACTTGCCAGGCACAGACCTTCTGCAGTGTGCGCGGTCCTGTGCTCTGGGAAGACCTGGCTTTGACTGTTTATAAGGCCAGCCCCCTCGGGGCTCCTCAACCCCACCGATACTGTGTGACTCTGAAGTTTCTCACAGTCTAATGGAATCAAGATTCAAATGGCTGCGCCAAGGGACAAAGAGCCACACGCCCCCACCCCAGGCCCTGGGCTGCAGGGTGTTGTGAGTCATAATTAGCCCTTGTTTTTGGTGACATTTCTTACATTGTAAAGGCCCTTCCATAGGCATCATTTTAACGAATGATGCTAGAGACAGCGAGTAAATGACTTGGGAGTCTGAGAGGCAGAAGTAAGAAGTTGAGAGCAGGAAAAATTTTGACCTAGAACGTGCTAGCCCACACACATGTTCTGGGCCTCATGGAATGGACACATCTCTTAACACGTAGCCTTAGAATTCACTGACAGCAATGACCACGTTTAACACACAGGGGCTCCACTCCAGCTGGGGAAAGAGAAGCAAGGAGGTGACCTGAACACAGTCCTCCCGGGGCACAAGGAGGCCCCATGACAATTCAGTAACCAGGAAAGGATGGAAGAGAGGTTACGTGAGAAATTAATTTGTGACAGCCACGGCTAGTGGACACAGGGCTGATCACCAAAGGACGTGGGGCCATTTCCTTGGGGGGAGAATATTCTGGGATTGCACCAGACTGAAGGCAGTGGAATGAGCTGGACGCAGGGGTGAGAAACCAGTGGTCTTGGAGACATCTGGTCTGAACTATGTTTTTAAGTAATTGTAAATGCAAGCACCTTTAGAAAGCACACCTGCTATTTGAAGTTCACCTCAGTCTTCACCATTTCCAACTGTCCTCACCCGATTGTCCCCACTCGTTTTTCTCATCCCTTAGTCCCCCGAGGGCACCCGAGTCTGCCGCCCTGGACGGAAGGCTCCACGAGGGAGGCTGCGGCGTTCATGGTGGACCATGCAGAGCTCGCCTCTGTGATGTCTAAAGGACACCACATGAGCCAAGACTATCACCTTGTCTAGGCCTCTTTGATTCAAGGGAAGGGGAAGGGAGGAAGAATTTGCAAGGCCCAGTCACTGTCTACGGAAGGTGAGGGACAATGAGGCGTTGAGGGTGACAGTGGGTTTGGCTTGGTCGACTGGGTGTGGTGGTGGCAGGGAACCCCGAAGAGGGCAGGTTGTACAGGACGGCAGACGAGATGCAGGAGAGGGGCAGGTTGTACAGGACAGCAGACGAGACGCAGGCTCGACTCTGGAGGGTGAGGGGAGCTTCCCAGGAGGCGGCCAGACCTGCCCGGGAGGAACATCCAGGCTGGAGCTCGACGTGGGCATCACCAGCAAATCAGCGGAAGGTAAAGTCACGGGAACGGGGAAAGTGGCGAAGGGAGAGCGCAGTGAGTGGGAAGAAAGGGCGCTCTAGAGACAGATCCTGGGAACACCAACATTTGAGAAAGGGCTGTGGGACAAGAAGGCCACCCCCAAAGAGCCGTCCAGAGCAGGTAGAACGAGAAGGGAAACCAGGAGAGCTCAGTGTCGAGAAAGAATGTCAACTGCTGCCCTTGTTATGCTTTTTTTGTCTTTAGTCTTTATACATTTAAAGTGCTTAGGGCACAGCATGTGATCATACCCGTGTTTTTTATTTTCAGAATGGCCACCCCCTCGACAGCTGGTCTGAAAGACCTGGCGCACCCCTGCGTCCCTGACCGAGCACCTGTCTCGGGCGTGAGCCCCACCTGACCGCGTGCTGCCTCCGTCAGTCCCGGCCCCGCGGAGCTGGGGTGCCGGACAGTTCCGCGCAGACGGCTCCCCCACGCGGCAAGCAGCCCCGCGGCGCCCCCGGGTGCAGAGCCGCGCCGCAGGGCGCCCGGTGCCGGCTTACCTGGCGCTCTCAAAGGTGGCGGATGCCGTCTTTTCTATAGCTCCGAATCCGACTCCGACAGCAAGGCCCTCTGAAACAGACAGAAGAAAAGCACGAGGCATCAGGAATCACATCTCGATAAGGAACGCCGCCGTCACCGCATCAGGCTCCTCGTCACAGAAGATTCAACCTGACAGGAGCTCAGACCCGACACGGCACCTAACACCACAGGGCCTGACCCAGCCGCCGCCCGCGTTTGCGAGGCCTGCGAGCTAGGAATGGCTTCTGCATTTTTAAATACATAATCATCAGAGAAAGAATACTTCATGACACATGAAAATTATATAAAATGCAAATTTCAGTGTCTGTAAATAAAGTTTTATTGGCCCATAGCCATGTTCATTGGCTGACAAGTTGTTTATTGCCGGTTTCATGCTACGTTAGCAGAGCTGAGTAGTTGTGACAGAGACTGAATGGCCTGAAAACCTAAAATACTTACTGTCTGGCTCTTCGTAGAGCTCGATGGCACTGACTCAGCAGCCACGGACCAAAGGCACGGACACACAGCATTATGACACTTTCTGACATCTATAGGGGAGTCCTACGATTCTCCTCACGCCAACTAGGAAGGAGCTTTGCTAAATTACCAATATTGGTCAGAAGCAAAGCCGAGGGCTTTTGGGGCCAAAGGAGAACTTTTTTTATGAACAGAAAAGAGGTCAAAACCTACTGAGAGGGGCTTGTTTTCTTTCAGGATTCACTGTCTCCTGGAGTCAGTATTGGTAATACAACCCCAGTGTCCTTGGCCCACTCCAACTACACTGGACATGAGACAGTGACCCTTGAACAATGCAGGGTTAGGGGCACCAGCTCCCTGTGCAACTGAAAATCCATGCATAACTTTTGATTCCTCCCCACACTTTACTAATAGCCTATGTTGCCCAGAAGTCTTACAGATAACAAAGTCAACGAACACAC